TCCAAAATAAATAAAATAAAATCTTGTTGCCACATACTGCAGCGCAGAAGAATGTCAGGAAGTCTGCTCTGGCCGGGGGAAATGCTAACAAACCTAACCGCAGCCAGGCAGCACCGGGGGGAGAGGAATTGGGCACCCATGCGAACTTCAAAGGGAAGGTCACGTCGGTAAGGAAGAGAAAGGATGGGTTCTAGTCTCTGCTAGGAGAAAGGAGGTTTCACTCTCTCCCCTCTGGCTACTCGGAGATACCCTGTGTAACTTCAGGCATGGCAGCTGCTCAGCCCTGTTGATGAATCCTTTCAATCTGCTTACAGGACTTGTCTTTTGTTAAGTAAATAACTGCTCTCCCCACCCAATTTTCAACCAGTTTTCCATGTCAGTAACTAACGTGGCCCATATTGTGCACAATAACAGCATACTCCAAAGACAGGACCTCAGATTTCAGTAGATATAGTGAAGAGCACATCTGGATTACCATGAGTGTAGCCCCTCTTTTTTTCCCTTTATTAATGTCATGATGACTCTAATAAGCAGTATTTAAACGGCTGCAGAACGAGCACTGTACTGTCACAAAATGTAAAGCATTTGGTGAGGAGGTTCATCTGAAACCCTCCATTTTGCAGAGAGAATGGGGGTTAAGAATCTGGAAACACATGGATGGTTTGTCATGCTGCAGCATCTGGCACAGATCAATGAAAACCTCATGTGCATGGACCACAAGCAGTCATAGTACATGCCTTGACCACCTGGAAAGGATTTGACGGATGGAAAACTAAAGAACCATGCTGGAATAATTCACAAATAGATGTATTTTCCTTTGTCACATAAGGCTTCCTATAGGAACGTGCATATAAAAAGATTCAGTGTATGCCTGTCTCCAATAGTCTGAGACATTTCACACATCTAACATCTACCCGGCACAATGGAAAAGTGTGAAGGAGAGACTTCGAGCTGCTTGACTCCAGAAATCACTCCACATGGCAGCAACCTCCGGTAAAACAGCCTCACAGCTGCTCTGAAGTATTCCAGCTGGTAACACATCCTCGCGAGGAGCCATCTGCTAGCGAGAGTGCATCAATACCGCATTGATACGCCTGTAGTCTCCACCTCACAGGATATAGATGCAAACTTGAAAGATCTGTCTTCCTTGCAAGCTCGTAAGGGCTGGGGGAATCAATCCTCTGAAAACAATGCCTACCAAGGTACACTTGTTAACAGTGAATCAGCTTGTGCTCACGAGCAATTTCATGCACGCTTCACATCCCACTTACATTCTCAGATGGGCCACGAGCAAGATACGAGTGATATGGGCAGAGCTACAAAACACTAAATGATGCTCCTCACTGCCCATCTCTGCTCACCTATTTGCCGACAAGCTATGAAGAAATGGAAGAACAATGGCCACAGTCCACCTCAAGCTCCCAGAAAGAGACATTGGAAAAGGCTCTGAAGGAAAACCCCCTCCTGCCTTGCGCTGGGCAGGAGCTACACGCACCACTCGAGAGGCAGCCATTTTGGTGGTCTTGTCTGTGTTGCTTTCGGTTCTTTAAAAGGCAGAAGAGATCCCCACCCTGGGTGAATCCTTAAAATTTAAACGTATTGAAGGAAGAAGTCAAACTGAACTTTTCCGAAAGGTCCTAGGTAAAAGCGTGCTATTCTTGGTGATGGTACCTGTTGTGAAACGGGAGCTAGTCTGCCCTCCTGGCATCAGCGGCAGGCACAGAAACTCTTGCAGCTCCGAACAACATATCCCATGTACCTCACATCTTCTCCTGGCTACGTGCCTCAAAAGCAGGACTAGAGCACAAACCTCGCTGTCTCAGCAGCTGCAACCCACTCGATCAGTACAGCACCAACCTCCCATACAGGGAGAATGCTCTCAGCACAGAAGGAAGCACCCACATATGTGGCTACCCCACTTCCCTCCTGAAAATGCTAGGCTAAGCCAGAAAAGTTAACGTGGGTGAAAAATAAACCAACTCTGTACTCATCAAATCTCTTGGTGGGTAACCCCTGGGTAACCAGTGCTCCATCGTGGGAATGTCAGAGTCTCCCATGCTGGCACAATAATACAGGAACTGTTCCTGAAGGTTAGGGAAGTTTATTTTTACAACTTTGCACAGTGCCTACAAATCTTTCAGCCACACAGCATCTGGTTTAGGCACTGCCCTTTGAATGGCTTTTCTGTTGGTGCAATAATTAAAGGTATCCCAGGTGACACCTGATCCCTTATCAAGTTCATTAATTTAAGTGGTGTTATTTGCCTCTCTATTTTCTATACTTCATAATGTATTTCTAACCTTTAAAGTGACATAGGCAAGCACCAGATTGCAGGGGCGCTTATTAACAGCCTATTAAAATATTTTATGGCCTTTATTTTTATGTTGCCATAGGGAATCAAGTATTTTGCTGTTGTTGAACAGGCTCAGGATTTATGTTGCGAGAGCTTCACCACAGCCTAACACAGAGCAGCGCTAGGAAATGAACTGGGAGAACAAACTCCCATTCAGCTCCATGTGTGTCATAAAGCTGTCACATGCAGATGGCAGCAAGGGGCCCTCCAATGCAGGCCCTTGGTTTGGTTTTTTTAATATAAACCGATAAGACAAGATGTAAGGCTCTGGGACCATACTGAGAGCCAAAGGAGGAAGTGTGCATCCTGAGAAACAGATCTGGGTGTCTCTCCTCCAACTGTATAGACCCATGGAGGTAAGCTCAGAAAGTATTCTCCTGGTCACCTGTGAAATAATGTGGTCTGTGGCTTTTTTATTCCAGAGCTTCTGTACCACATCCACATTCTGCAACTGAGTTAGAGTCAATGACTTTGGAAGAAGGCCATGATCTCACCTAGAAGACAACTACAATTTTACCTGGAACATGACCATGAACCTACCTAGAAGTTTTCCAGCGATTGCAAGCCCCTCACATCCCTAGGAAAGCTCCTTCACAGGTGAAAAACTCTGTTGAAAATCTGCACCTTCTGTTGTCCCTTCTCTGTTGAAAATCTGCACCTCCTCCTAACTCAAGCATATCCAATATTGAGAAAACACATGCCTTGGATTCAAAGACTTAACTTTGTCCTGCTTAGGTGTTCAGAAATTACAATCAAATGCCTTCTGAAATTCTTGTTTCGATAAACTTCCTAGGGTGAGCTTGGGGTTTTCCTGAGTTTATATTATGTTTTGCTTATTTTTTCAAGCATAAAAAATGATTTGTAATGAAGCAACACATTTGGAAGGGTACCAGCAACATACTTAAAAGTATTTTAATTGCTTGTGTTTTCAAAACGTTTTAATGAAGTCAAATCAGGAATAGACACTCATCTGCCAAAGAACCTATAAAATATTTTACAATGACATTATAATTGACGTAACTGGTTGTATAAATTCCTGGCATTTTAAACAAAGATACTAGAGATTAGCACAAGCGAGAAACAAGTAGGCAATTATTATTTCTGCTTTAATTATAAGGGCTTTGGTTTGCTGGGTTGTTTTTTTTTCCCAGTTTTTAATTTAAATGTCATATTGCAAGGCTTTCTAGACAGATTTTCTGTGGGTAGCCTTAGAAAGACTGTTTTCAGCAAGCAATCCCATAGCACTAATGCATGACCAGTAGTCATACTAATAAGTGTTGTTAAATGTACCATTCCTTTAATGCCTCATCCAAGACCAAATGAAAGACTATCACACTGGGATCAGTCCTGAACATCCAGGAGGGACTGCTCCTCCAATTTCATCTTATAGCTGGGCGATGGCAAGAGAAACAGAGCAGCCTGCCTGCAACCTGGGCAGAGACAGACACGGCGAATGAGCACCCTGTGAGTCCCTGAGCTCACTGGGGTCTCCTGCATTTGTATGGGCTCTTTCCTCCTAACCCTCAAAGAAGAAGCTGCACCTAAGAAACTAAAATTTCACCCAAAGGACCATACCAAGTCGTGGCACGCCAGTGACATTGCAAGACTTGCCTGCGGGGGAAGATTTAAGGGGGGACTGACCTCGTTTAAATTAAAGACCCATCTGCGAGAGTGGCTCGCGGTGGTAAGAACAATAACTTTCCTGAGAACTGCCCTGCAACTGTGCAATTCTCTCATCTCCTAATGAACTTCCCTTGTGCCTCTTCTCCCGCTCCCACCACAGAAGAGAGTGGAGAGCAAACTTCCAGCCGTGTTGCACAATGCTCTCCTTTCCTGGGTGGGCAGCAAAGTGCTGACTCCCAGCAACTTCCTCCTTCTGAAGTTCACTAGACGGTTTTATTAATTAGCAGGCTCCCCATCTTATCATGCGCTGCACCTGAAATCCTGCTTGTATTTTTGAAGTGAGTAATTAAAGCCAGAGGTAGTTGACTAAACAGGCACTGATGTAAACTAATACTCTATCAATATAATGAAGCAGCTTGCTAGACAGTAAGATGCCCAGACTCAGAAGTTAACTGTGTCCAAGGGCAAAACATGCCTTGGCTGGCAAACATACCTTCTGATGTGGGCACCCCCAGGTAAACCCTTGGTAATTTTGCTGAAACTAATCAGATTCTGGGCAGAATCTGGGTCATTAAATCTGTCAGGGGCCAAAACAAACAGAAAAGAAGTAAGGCTGCCACCCTCAGATCACAGAGTAATAGTAATGATCAACAATTTCAACACCTTCCCTGTAGAGACTGCAATATTTAGCCGGTAATTATCAGGCATGATTTCATTCTACATAACGGGGCTAGGAGGTTACCTGCTTCAAGGTCAGCAAATGTAACTTTGCTTCCTTCATGCAAAATTGAATGGCAAATGCCACCACTGGCAAACAAATCTCAATCAAGACAGTGCTTTATCATCAGACACTTGTTGGTACTTATTAGAAACCACTCTGCAGTGCCGTAACACAAAATATTGCCCCTGCTTACCACTGCTGCCAGCAGAGTTGGTTTCCCTTGTATGCTCCTCAGAGAGGAATGGGGGCATAAACAGCAAAAGACAGGAACAGCAGAGAAAGAAAAAAACCCCAATCACTTACTTGATATTGTCAAGACATCCAGATTCGGGTTTCAATATGGCAGTATGATGAAACATTTTATAGAGAGCGATCCCAAGGAAGATGACATTAAGCTGCAATGGGGGGAAGGAAAAAAAAGGTGTTACATGACATGGCACAACATGATGGTGGGAAAGTCAGCTTCTTCTCTGTAACAGATGAGTTGCTGTAGGAAATTAGCTCGCACTACAGTTTTACAGTGACTGAGTCACAGAAAATTGCCAAGCATTTTGTGAGATGAGCTGGCCTGTAGACTGCAGGACCGGTGATGCCACAGCATTACCAAAGCCGTCGCGCTGCATGCGTTACTGATACGGGGCTGGTTCCAACATCAACTGCAGTGCTTCAAATGACGTTCTGGAAAATTAAAAATATCTGCTGTAACGGCTCCTCTGTGTCTGAGAGGTGTACAGTCGTGAAAAGTCATTCCAAGCACCTTGCTTAGCTGGCCCCATTGTATTAAAGCAAAAAAAGCATCTTTTTGTATGAATAGATCTTTTAAATATGGTGCAACAGGGGAGATGGGCAAGGAAATCATGACTGCTGAAGATGCTTAGTACAATGCAAAGTTGAAAAATAAAAAGGAAAAAGAGTTTGATTTGTTCTGTAAAAGATGTGATGGTGTTTCAATGCCTCGGTGTTAACAAGGCTGCCAATTCCTGGAACAGAGTTCCCTCAAAAGCCCAGACCAGGGTTTGAGACCTAATCAAAAAGGGAAGATATCTTTTTATGAATGAATTGCTTAAGGGGAAAAAAATCAACAGTTGTAGCTGGTGGCGTGGTCCCCTCCCTGATGTGGAAGGCTGCTGAAACAGCCCCCAGTTGCAGGAGAAGCAGGAGAAGCAGGAGAAGCAGGGACAATGTCTGCATTGAAGTGAGAGCGCCTGGTTTGCTGTGTTAGCCAAACTGTAGTCTATTCAAAACAAAGGATGATTTATTTAAGCCATATTGCAGCGATTAAAGTATAAGAAAACTCCAGCTGCCTCTGAAGTTGGGTTCTCTACCTTGTTGCTGTGTTAGCTGATACGCTGGCAACGTGCTAACTGTGAAGTCACACGAGCTTCAGTTTCTGCTGCGGAGGAAAACCCCCCACCACACTTCTCTTCCAGTTTGGATTTTATTTCATTCCCCTCTCCCCAGATTTCCCTTTTTTGCATGATCGATGCAAAGTTTCACTCTGGAATTCAAAAGCTGAGGAGTGGGGGCAGGGTGGCAGAGGGAAGCTATGAGGGGCATCAAAGTAAGAGTTCGGCACTTCTAAATGTCCAACAGTAGAAACCAAACTCTGCAAGCACCCACTCCGAAGCTTCCCGGCCAGTTTTGGTCTGCCAAGAACCTCTCATAATGAGGGTCTAATTGTTTGTGCCAGGTGAGGTCAAAGAAGAACATGCCTTTCTCATATTAATCTGTGTAAATTAAAGATAAAGAGTAAAGGGACAGTAAAAGTTTTATTTCTTGACCTGAGAGATGGAGTAGTTAATTAGGAGTTCTTACCATAATTATCAAGGTCGCTGGTCCTATAAAGCTCCAAATGAAGTAGGTGTCAAGTCGGAGCCAACATCTGTAATGAAACACAAGGGAGAGAAGGCATTCAAGGACTGCACCCAGGACATACATCAAGAGTGAGCGAGTGACAGAGAAGAATGTGAGCTGCAAAACACGCCGGTGGGAGACAGGAAATATTACATTGCTTGTTCATTTAAACGCTGAATTATGTGCCCGATTTCTGACAGCGCTATTGATGGAGTAAGATAATTACCTCTGGAGGAAGCAGGGAGAAAATGGCATAAGACCTAGTTGCTAAGCCTTTCTGCATCTTTTGGAGAAAATCCTTAAAACTGTGGGTTTTTTTAAGGAAGGGGCCCAATGAGCATCCATGGAGCTGCTGCTTTGCTTTAAGCTCCTCTTCCCTCTCTGGCTCTGATGCAGCCTAAGCTGTCTGTCAACTGTCAATGAAATGACATTTCTCCAGCAAGCAAATCAGAGCAAATTTGGTGCAAATAGGAAGCACAATTTGGAGGAAGCAAAAACCTCACAAGAAGGCTGAGGTTTAATTAGGTTCAGAAACTTCCCCTTCAGAGCGTTTTATTTCCCTGAACCTCTGGAGTGTTTTGTTTCCACTAATGTTTCGAGGGTTGCATATGGTCTGCGCTATCACATGAAGCTGATTCATGGCCTAAAAGTAAATTATTAATCGCTTAATTTCAACTGCATTTAATACTCCCCACATTTTTTAAGGCCCCTGGGAAATTACATTTTCATTCCTAGTTCATTCCAGGCGACAGGAAGATAAAATGGAAGTGACTGGTTACAAGACAGAGGAATATAAATTCCAAGAAAGTTTTGCACAATGTTTAAAATAATAATATCTTGTCGTGTTTGCAACGCTGCAAATCACAGCTCTGTTTATACACAGAGGACTAAGAACGCATAAAACCACTCTTATACTAAACATCCGATGGAATTTCATAATTAGGCAGGTGACAGGAACTGTATATATGAATTTATCATGGTGAAAGAGAAAGCAGTTCTCACAAATGACAACTCTAGTGCATGTGCTGAATGTTTTTTCCCTTCCAATGGACTTTGCAACAGGCAGAAAGTTCTGTGCCAGCAGCCCAACAGAAGAGACCAGCAGGAGCCATCTGTGGAGAAAATAAAACATGTCCTGAACCTATCTGACTGGGAGAAGCCAAAATATGAATAAATTTAAAGTTGTAGATAAAGCTTCTCACTTCCATCCCAGACCATAAAAATTTCAGGTCTCGTCAGTCTTGAAGATGTATCAATATATATATGGTCATACCGCTATTTGTCACAAATTAAAATACCGTCACTTCTGTGACCGCCACTCCTGAACTACCTCTGCAGCTGTTCATCCAAAATCTTCATGTGACAGCATCAAAATCTTAATGAGAGAGGCAAACAGAAGCTTTCAGAGTGATTGCAGGGAAATCGTGTTTCCTCTGCGGCTGCTGAAGTTCAAGGTGATTTAGATGCAGCTGGTAATGGAACAACACAAGTGACTAGAAACTGAGTCTGATTTCCTATAGGAAAGGGTTTATGCGATCATGACATCTGTGTATCACCCATAATAACATCTGAAATGTCGCTCAATTGCAACTAGATTTGACAGAGGAACAGAGGTTTCAAGGATAATGAAGTCCCTGTAAAAAGTCCTCCTCTCCATCCCTGAAAAGAGATGTCCACATAGCAGCAGCTCACACATTACATGGCATTTCCGACTTTATACCTACCCCATCCCATAGGAAAAAAATGTAACTTGTGCTTATGCCTCAGCTGCCACGTATAAATCAGGGAATACGCAGCCCTACAACTCCTTTCTACTGATAATGAGAGTGCTGGAGTCTGAGAGAGGACTCAGAGGGTTGCGTTTGTTTTTCTTTTTAATTAAAACATTTTGAACTTTTTTTCCAGTTTAATATTCAAAACATCCCCCAGCCCCTGCTGCACAGGATTCAGGAGCACAGTATATTTTAATTGCCAAGCAACCTAGTTTTCCTTCAGCACAAAGAGCAAGCTGGCTCTTGGAAAGCCCAGGGAAGAGAAAAGACATAAACCCTCTCTTTATTCCTTAAAGCATGATGGCCAGCCGTATGGTCATATCTGACACAGCTGGTTTTGACTATATAGAGATTGGGACAGGGAGAAAATTGGTGAAAGCTGAAATACAGCACGAGGCAAAAACTGTGCCAGGCTGAGCAAAGAAGCACGAAGCAACTATTTTCCAGCCAGCCAAAGGATGAAATTTCCCATCCCTTTCCCCTAAAAAAATCTGTCTCCTTGGTTGTGGAGCACAATTCAGTGACAAGATATGGATGCTGTAGATGGGAAACAGCTGAGGAGCCAGGTCTTGCCATCAGGATAAGTGAGGGACAGGCATGGAGCAAAAGAGTCCCCTTCCAACAACAGACAGCTTCATCTAAGCAAGAGTACAGCTTGCAAAAACCAGAAAAGGCTTTTTTTTTGCCTCTCTGCATGCTTTAAAGAACGTGATGTCATTTTTTATTTGTTTGAATAAAAAAATCACCTTTCTATGAAACCATGTATGACACTCAGTCTTGGGTGACTAAACGTAAAGCTGCAGGACTGCCTCAAATCTGCAGAGGGAATTTAAAAAGATGGGTTTTTTTGCGGTCATCAGGAAGAGATGCAACTTTGAACCCGGTTAAGTCATGCCTCATTAAAAATGCAAATTAAGACCAAAACATCAAAACACGGGCATCCCGCCAATTGTGTTGAGGAACTGTAAATTGCTAATCAGACAAGTACCACACTGAGCTTTTCTTCCCTTAAAAGACAAAAACCCATACGCACAATGAGCGGCTAAATGAGCTCCTCGAAACAAGGAAGCAATCAGGCGACTCACTTCCCAAAGTTGCTAATCTTGGGCTGCTGAGTTACTTCTGACCCCCCATGCGCAGCTGTGCTGTGAACACCGACTTGCTGCATTGCAAGTTTAGACTCCGCTGCCATTAAGCAAACGAGCCGCTTCAGGGCACAGTACGAGGCAGAGCGGATTATCCGAAAGTCTGTGGATGCAGGGAATGCTGCTCAAAACCCCATTGCTTCTTCCAAGAGTCACACCAGTATATTCAGTGCTCATAACGAGCTCCGTGGTGCTGCTTTCCTTTACTTTTTAATTTCCTTCTTTTCCGCAGTGACAAGTCGCTATATTCACCTAAAGCTTCTCCCAAGTAATAAAGACTACAAAGAGTTTACTCTATTTTCTGCATGAAGAGAAATCATATACTAAACTACCCCTGGTGTGCATTAAATATAACCAATAAACAATCATTAGCTGCCATTGGACCATAAAATTTGAAGAGCCCTAAACATATCATGTTGTTCAAGGGAGTTCAGTGGTTTGTTTCACATGGCTATACAGCCTCCTTGTCTGGGTGCGGTAATGGGATATGTATGCACAAGACATGCCTTTCAAGGGTGCAATATAGGTTCTGCTTAATGCAGTCCAGGGTCCAAATTGCTCATGCTTCCTCCTCCAAATACCTGGCACGAACGCTGAAAATAAAACAAGTTCAGTGGAGCCACCCAAGACAGACCGTATTGTTTAGAAGCTATTTTCTGAGCAACATTAACATGCATAAAATGTCAGCGGCTGGCTGATGGACTCGGAGGCTGTGTACATACACTGGGCTTTCATTTTGCTTTCTGACAGCTGGATTGCTTACCATGTATATCCTGCTTTATAGCATACCAAAAGGGGGAAGAAGGGGGGGGAGGAAACAATAGAGAGATTCCTGTCATGATGAATTTGATCACCAGTGGATGAATATACCTACCAGTACGTTTTCTAAAATATATTGAACCATTCAAAGCATAGCTGTTTTCCTCTGAGATTTGTAAGAGGCGTTGATATGAAACCCAGGACAGTATGGCAATATGGAATAGCTTCTTGCTGTCAATTTTGGATGGCCTGCTACTTGAGTAAGTCCTCTCAAAGGGAGGCTGCTAAAGTCTTAATCCAGCTTTTAATGAATTTTAGACATGAGCTATTTTCAAACACTAACAACAACTGCAAATGCTATTTTCCCTCTGCATTTCGCAGCACTTGCCCACCACAATGCCTGATAGCAGATTCGGCCAGGAGATAGATGAATTTGGTTAACATGGAGGACAAGACCGATGTAACTTTTAAAAACTGCAATCCCAGTATCTTCTTTTTTGCAGCAAAACTTGAGACGTGGCCATTTAAGACTCAGCAGCTGAAGACTTCATCTGTAAGAAAAGGTCGCTTGGAAATTCATGTAAGCATCGGCAGAATCTCTTTGGCAATGTTGGGAGACCACACTGTCTGCAGTGGGGCTTCCTGCTTTTCACCTTTACTTCAGAAATTACAATGAGAACAAGGTGACAGGCAACATTTCTGATTTATTTGGGGGAAAGGGCCAAACATGGCTCAGTTTACTCACATGAATAGTCCCTGCTGGCCTGAATGGGATGATCTTTTAATGCAATCGCTACTCTGCTGCTTGGTTATAAAAGCAAATTAATCTCCTGATATGAGTGGTTTGAACTGCTCGTAAGCAAAAAAGTAGTAAAAGGAGAAGAATCAATTCCAATCCTTGGAATAATTAAGTGTAAGAGAATATCTTTACTGCGCAGCTACTAGGATGCCAGTATGAATACTAGGACATGGGACGCTTTAGAAAATAACAAGCACCCAGTGATGAGCAAAGAAACAGAGAGATGAACAACTGCCTGTTCCTGGCTATGTAATCTGGGCATGTGTTAACAGGAGGGTTGGATTTAGAAAGGAAAATGAAATAAAGAAAACCTACATTGGGTGACTAAGCAAATCATTCTGAGATGTATGAATGGTGGCACCAAATGCCAGGCAAAAAACAAATAACACTAACAGCTCCATAAGTCCTGCTTAAACAAATGCAATAAATAATGGAGGGAGGCAAGTAATATATTCCAGAGGATGTTTTACAAAACCCAGCAAAGCCAAGCAACTTCTTGCAATCAAATTATGTATGCCTGGCATATAGTTCACTACAAATTCTAATCAGTTCTACCCTTCTAATAACATTATACAGAAAAATACATCATCATCCATCAACCAGATGGAGCATGATAGTTATACAAAACATATTGTATTTTTTTTATTTTCCACTATGAGAATGTGATAAAATTGTGCACTCTGGAATTAGAGATTATAAATAAATATTTTAGGCTCTGCAAATATCTGTAAATATTTATTTGCAAAATATTATATATACATGTTTAATCATTAAAAATGCTACTTTATGCTGTGGGAGGGAGGGAGAGAGATTTTACTGGCACAGACATAGGACTGCTGCCTCCTCAACATAAAGATAGCAAAGTTTTCTTGTTTGCCTCCAGCAAATTTAAGCCAAACTTCCTCTCTGTACCTTCCATGCCATGGAAATATTTGGGCACCCAAGGTCTGTTGGGAAAAGGCAGCATATCCCATGGAATATGTTTGCTTCACTGTGCTTCAGAAAGGTCCATATATTCATTTAATGGGAGCAGAAACATTTCAGCAATGCAAAACTGCCATGGTGCTTTATGGGAGCTGTGGTTAGGTGCCATATGTTCCCACTCTCTACAGCCAGCCTGGCATGTGGTGCTATCTCCCACAACCTACTTTGGTACTCAGGCTGTCCCTACAGAGCATCATGAGGGACTTTGCAAAGATGAGGGCGGATGCAAATCGACTGCTGTCTCACATCCAAAGTGATACTCTGGGCTTGGGAATGTCCTTTTACTACAAGGGAACGAAGTCAGACATTTTCAGCACCTGACAGTTATAGAGCACTGTAAGAGAACACGGTCCTAGCTTTTATTGCAAACTAGCTGCAGTACTGGGTTTTCTTGGTAGGTTGTCCAAAACATTGAGAGAAAAGTCAAAAGGATTGCTCTTGTGCTCCAAGCCCTGCAACGGTAATACTCCAGAAGTCACAGGGTGAACAGTGTGGAATGCAGCCACTAAAAAAACAGACTGGACTGTGAACTGGACCAGTGCGGGAACAGATGTGCAGGAGCATCTCAGCTGGCTTTCCAGGGAGTGAGACTCATGACCCTTCAGTTGTAACGTGTCTGAGGCTCAACATGCCCCATGTAGGCCACTGTGAAGAGGTAGGTCCTCCATAGGAACACCGCAGTAAGAATAAATTTGTCTGAAGGGACAAGGCAGAATGTTTTAATACCTGATTCAATGTGGGCTTATACATGGCTCAAGAGGGGATGTGAACAGAAGAGTTCGTTGGGGCAGAAAGCAGGTGGCAGCTGATGGAAGCAGTCTTCTCCAGAAACTGTAATCAAATGTTGTGTTACTTTTTCTTTGCCCCCTAGGCCTGTCAAAGTCGGTCAAACTTCTTTGAATAAATTGGTAGAGATCCTTGAAAACTTATTCCCTCCTACCCTTATCTGTGTGGGCCATTTCTTTTCCTCAAAGTAAGAAAGACATTTATACAAATTCAGGTTGCTGTTCTCCTACTCATGGGAGGAACACGATGCAAATATCCTATTGGGATCCAAGCCTAAATGCTGGCATGATAATGAATCATGAACAGCTCCACTGCTCCACAGATGTGCTTCTGCAAGGAATCAGGTTCATATATACCAATAAGGTCTCAAGCAAATATTTTGCAGTTGAATTTAACAGAATATCAACTGCTGCCATGGCCTGACCCAACTTGTACTAAAAAAGAGCTTTAAAAACACCACTGGATCATTGCTCTGTATGCCTTCAGATTGAGCCCATAACTCAGTTAAAACGACAGGGGGAAGGCAGCCTGACAAAGGAAAGTAAAAAAAAAAAAAAAAAAGTCAATAAAAACACATTGTTAGTGCTATTGTAACAAAGCTGGCAAAGAAAATCAAAGGCTTGATTTTCCCTTTGTTTTCCATTAGACAGTGTTGCACGATCATCTAAATTGCGCTTTGATACCAGCTTCAGCAACGTTGAAAACATTTAAGAATATTCATAATGATAAATGATGTAGCTGTTCTGAGTCTAATGCATACCACAGTCACCACCTATTTTGCTTGTGGGCTCTGTTAATTTGATAGAACACTTAAAAAAGAGGAAGAAGAAAGCAATGTTTAATCATCCAAATGAGAAATACTCTTTGGTTAGAGAAGGATGACTTTGCTGATACAGTACCAAAGTGAGACTTGGGACAGCCACCTCTGCTGATGTTACGCAACGATGTGATAAAATGTTCCTCAACTGACTTCCTCAAGAAAATACCTTTGCAAATAATTTCATAGTGGGGAATTTGTCCTGTATCATCACAGACCATGTTGGAGACACAGAGATAAAGCAAGGCATGCCTCCTGGCTGAGATCTGCCTGCACAAGTCTCCTTTGCCTGCCAGGTCTCAGGGCCCTTCACTTCTCTTTCTTGTCCCCACTCTCATCCCTCCTGACCAGGTCCAAGCAGTGACAAGCCCCACTCACACTTTGTCTGTGCCGTAGCTCCGGTAGTCCACTGCTGCTGATACAGCCACAATCAGTGCAGGCATGCCATAGCCGACCAAATAGAAGTACTTCCTCCGGGAGTGTTCGCTCTCAAAAACCTCCACCAGCATGATGTAGAGCTGCACCCCTTCCAGGAACATCCAGGTGAAAGCCGCCAGGAAGAAGAAGTGCAGGAGGGCAGCAAAGACAGCACAGGCAATCTGTGTGTGGATTGAAAAGAGCAAGAGAAGGAGTTTGTACCATGCTGAATTAATGCAATAGTCAGGATTACTCTTACTGGGAGGTTTAATAAGAATGAGGGAGTTCTCATCTTCCTTTCTCCAAAGGAAGAACTTTTTTCCGCTTGGAAAATGTGCGTGAACTATTTTAAAATAGACACATCTCTGCATATATAAATTATATTCAAAGACACAAAGGCAGGTATGTACACAATCTGTCAAATAAACCTATAAAGATGTACATAGCATAAGTGCATTTTTACAACCTGCTTATTAAACATACATACACATTATTTACAGACAATGCACATACAGCCTCTGAAATCACAGCAGGCATCAGCATTTGACTCCCAGTTAAAAACCAGGGGCCCAACCCTGTGAGGACTCATGCATGGAATTAAGGCAGTGCTTGACTATATCTCACTGCATGGTCAAACATATGCACTGAGACAAGAGGGTGTGGTGGGAGCAGAAAGTGCTTTGCCTCTTACCGGCTGGTCAGTCCGGTTGATGCCAACAAGGAAGAGGAGTTCTGCCACAAAGAGGCTGATGCATAAGTTCTTATGAATTGTGTTGCGGTCGCTCTGCAGCCCACGGAAGAAGCAGAAGGTGAAGATGCAGATCAGGAGGCAGACCAGTGAGAGCAGGATGCCAACCCACGTGATAAAGTCCAGGAGCAGGTCATGGACTGCATCGCTGTGCTGGAGATAAAACAAAAATAAAAATCACCATTCACATGCTGCATGACTTCTAATCCATCCCAGACACAGAGTGAGGTTGTCTGAGAGCCTTCCCCAAGTATTTGTATCCACTCACCAAGATGTGGCACAAGGGATCAGTAGTAAAAACTCTAAAGGGACCTAGACCTGAATCTTGCATCAAGAAAGCTGCAACCTGAAACGCAGACTCTCAAGTGTCTGGCAAGCTGCAGGTGCCCTGAACAGACTCAGACCCCAAAACATCCTAGAAGCAATGATGCTGTTGTTGAAAATACCAAGATGTCATAGCTAGTCTTGCATGCAGCTCCATCTTTCGCCAACATGGCAAAGGAGCAGGTCCACAGTATAAAGAACCATCAAACACCGTGATTTGAGTGTAAAAATGTTTCATGCTAACAAGATCATGGCGATTACAACCACAAGTCCATTACAACCACTTTACCAACAGTGAAAAATGCCTCTCTTTAAACATTCACAGAGACATATGAGCTTGGAGGCTTTGTACAGAAAGTGATCATTTAAATGCGTTGGGTTGTTTTTTTTCACCAGGGAAGGAGAAAGAAAGTTTGATTTTTCTTTTTCAAACCCTAGAGCTATATTTTAAATCTCTTGGGAAGTCAGACTGATCTCTGGATCGCTACCCAGAAAAAAAAACCCAGACCTTTTAATATGAATTTGCTTTTAAATTGTAACAGAACAGTGATTTAAAGACAGCCTGGAAAGTAAGTGATTCCCTGTGATGAACTTGTAACATGGTTTTACCCCAGAGCCATGCAAACATGGCCACTGCAGTGGCAAAGTTAGGCAAATCAGTGTTGCTGGTTTTGACTGGGATAGAGATAATTTTCTTCACAGTAGCTACTATGGGGCTGTGTTTTGGATTTGTGCTGAAAACAGTGTTGATAATACAGAGATGTTTTTGTTATTGCTGAGCAGTGCTTACACAGAGTCACAAGGCCTTTTCTGCTTCTCACCCCACCCCACCAGCAAGTAGGCTGGGAGTGCACAAGGAATTGGAAGGGGACACAGCTGGGACAGCTGATGCCAGCTGACCAAGGGGATATCCCATACCATGTGATATCATGCTCAGCATATTAAGCTGGGGGAAGAAGAAGATGGGGTGATTGGGGTTATTGGCATCTGTCCTCCCAAGTAACCATTATGTGTGATGGAGCCCTGCTTCCCTGGAGATGGCTGAACCCCTGCCTGCCCATGGGAAGCGGTGAATGAATTCCTTGTTTTGCTTTGCTTGTGTGCACGGCTTTTGCTTTACCTCTTAAATTGTCTTTATCTCAACCCACGAGTTTTCTCACTTTTACTCTTCTGATTCTCTCCCCTGTCCCACTGCAGGGGGAGTGACTGAGTGGCTGCGTGGGGCTTGTTACCGTCTGGGGTTAAACCATGACACCCAGAAACAAAGTTTTGCATGGGGCAGCACAGGTGTGCCTTGGCTCTGATGATAAAACACTGCTGGATTGCTCCCGGGCTTACACTGCACACCCCTCCCAGAAAGAGGAGGATGTTGCTGGGAACTGGACACTGAGGGTATCCCACCACCTTATTCCTTATTTAGGCTGTAAAACTTGCCCATAACTCCCCAAGCTTCCACGAGATACGGTGAAATTAGAACTATCACAACATAGTAAAATGTAAGAAGAGAAATACATGGTGAGTCATGAGACGGCTGCTTGGGGCTAGGTGGTTAAGGTCAATGAACTGAGGGAAAGATTGGCTGAAAATCTCTGGTAGCTTTTCAAAAAGACCAGAGAGGCTTGAAACCCAGCTTTGTGGTCTGCCAGGCTGTGTTATAAGTGGTATTCATATTCCCCTCCACTTCTGGCATTTTGATGACTTAGGCATTATGTAGGCTGGCAAATACAATAGTGTCACACTTCAAAAAGCCAGGACAAACTGGAAACATTTTCCTCCCTGTGGGATAAAAGCTTATGACAGATGGAGGGAAAAGGTGATTAATTTATCCATTTTCTTTGCCTGCTTGCCAGTGATAAAGCCACATCAAATGTCAGGCCTTTCCTGATATACACTCTGCTATGTCAGCACCCGTGAGAAAAAAATCAAACCTTTCAGCTCTTTGGCTTTATCAGCATGAGTGATAGGCATCAAATGATAATGAAAGATGGGGAGCGAGTTTCCCCTCCATCTCTTCCATGCTGGAATTCTTCTCTCCAGGGAGACTTGGAGGAGGAGATATAAGGGCTCTCTGAGTATTTCCAATATCTAAGGAACAAGGGGTCACAAGTCCAACAGAGAGGCAAGAAATCATTGTGTGCTTACCGTAGATCATGACAGAAATGCCTATTCCAGCCAGCTCCTCCAGCAGCACCCAGAAAACCGAGAAGATGAAGCACACATCATTTTCCTGGCGGTCACACATTGCTTTCTCTCAGTGTCATTCCAGCTCATCCATCCCTCAACTCAGTGTGAAAAAATGTTAATGCAAACCTTGCACCTTGCAAACCATTCTTTTTTTCAACTGAGGCTGCTGGGGAGTGGCAGGAGAACATCTCTCTGAACAACCTTGCCAGCTCACCTGATTAGATTGCCCTGCCAGGCTGAAGTGACCAAGAGTTCTTGGGCTGGGCGAGGGGGGCAAGGCAGCTAATGCGGGTGGATGCAAGGAGAAAGAAACCAGGCAAGACTTTGGCCAGATGCATCCATCTCATCCAGATGCATCCAATGGCACAGATTCATCTATCCCAAGACAATGTTAACCTGGCACGGAGAAAGCTCCCCGAGGGCTTCTTCACCAACATGAGACAAATCTCAGAGGTCTCAGTTCCTGTACCTCTATCATAAAACCATAACTCTGCTGACTTTAAGACACAATGCAGGAATTAGGGGTGTTTTTGCTCCTGGAGAGGGATCTTGCCATCTAGGGTCATGGCCTTCCTCAGGGAAGGGCTGCTTGCCCACAAAGGTCACCTTGCTTAGCAAGAAATGCAGACCTCATTGCTGTGTTATTACTAGCACTCTTAGTACTCTCCTTTTTAATATTAATTGCAATGATAATTCTGATTTTACATAACACTCATCCCTGGAGTGCTGGGAAACAACCATAAAAACATCTTCTCCATAATTACAACCTCTCCTCCCAAATTCAACAAACTCACAAAAGAACAAACAAAAAGGAGTACTAACAATAAACCAGGAACAAGAGCAATTTAAAAACACCTAAGGGGAAAAAAATAAGAATTTGTAGCTTTTCTAGTAAAGTCCAAGAGAAGAAGTGAGCTAGATTTCAAAGGCTGGGTGCTGGGTGCACTCTGGCCTGTTTGGGGATGCCCCAATGGGTCAGGGAGGAGTTGGTAAGCACTGGCATCCCTCCCATGGCAGTGCCAGCTGCCCCCAGGCCAGGCAATTCGCCTTTTGCGGGAGACTGAGACTTGTAAAATACTGCGCTGCCACAGGCCACAAAACAGAATAACATGGGAAAAGGAGGAATTGTGGTAATCACTCCTCAAACCGTGAGATTATCCTTGCCACCACCCAATTGCTATGAGACAAATAAGGGAGCAATGTATCTGGTTTACACAGTTGGTATATGGCCTTCCAGGTTTAAATGTGATAAACAGCACACCAAGATTTTGTACCTGCATCGCAATCTCTGAGCCTGGTCCTGAGAGAAACTGCAGAGACATGCAAGAGGAGCAAATGGAAATATTTACCCTATCCAGCCCTGTTCAAGCACTCCTCTGACAGTGGATAAAATAATTTTGACATACACGCTAATGGTATCTTTCCAGCACCCTGCAAGCCCTAGGTTCCCTAAGGCATGCAAAATACATCTGATACCACCAGTGTATCGGTAACAGTCAACTATTGCTTCTTGATAATCTCCCCAAAGACCTGGACAACAGGAAGAGCCCATGGAAGATATCAGACAACAGTCCAAGGGACAATTTCTTGACAGCATCAATCAAACACCTCCTTGCCCAAATGCATCATGGCTGTCAAGACCAGTGCTACATGGCCCAGCATGCAAGCCAGTGAGTTTTCTTACCACTAAGCTATGCTAACTTTGCAGGTAAGCTGACATGTGGATTATTTTCAGCACAGGGATGACTTACTGAGTAATTGAAAGAAATAAAATAATCCACTTCAGTGAAAGGGTTTCTATATTAAGTGCATTTAACATTTACAATTTACGCATGAACCTGACCCAAAGCTCAATGAAAGAAGATTTCCCTGGCTTTGGAATAAAGCCCTGCTTTTGCTCTGGTGGGGCCAAGAATGGCAGGAGGAGAGTGCTGATGGAAACCTGTGCAAAAGGAGTTATGGGAGCCCTGGTAGCAACCACAGCAGGGTGAGCAGGCAGCCTAGATATTATCCAGGCTGGGAAAATCAATGAGTAGATCTGGCAGTGCCTGTACACCAGAGCTGAGCTAATAAAAACAAATCCTAGGGAATGTCAGCTTATGACAGAATGGCTCTGCCTGAGATGAACAGCCATTTCCTCCCTTATTAAAAACATCAGTAGAAGAAAACAGCAGCCAAACCAAGCTGCCAGCAGCAAAGGACACATTCCTTTGCTTAATCTGTCCCTCCAGGAATAGAAAGAGTAATATGTTTGGGAGTGGAGGAATAAGTAAGCAGTAAATAAAAACAGTGTCATCGACTAGCTCAGATATGACCACTCAGTGCCCAGTGGGAGCTGGCAGTGTGCTGGGCTGGGCAGAGACCCAAGTGGGACAGGTTTGAACTCCTGTGCATTGCTGATGCTGCTCCTCAGATATGTAGCTATCTGGGGCCACGCAAGCTCCCGCTGCACTTTTTCCCCCGTCACTGTTGTTGAGAGAGGATTACTGCTATGACCTGGCTGGAATACTTCATGGCTAAGTGCAAAGGGCACTAAAGAAGCAAATGGTTTTGTAGATGTGCCAAAATCATCAGCTGGGCTACATGGAGCGGGTGGAAACCCCAAGAGCTCCTGCAGCTTGTCTGGCCTGGTTAGCGGCATCACC